CGGGGATGCACGTGTGAAGCCGGGATGCGGGTCGGGCGGCCGCCCCCGGGGGCCCCGTTGGCGGGCCGGCTTCATCCGCGCCCGGGGCCTGCGGGGGGGGGCGGCGTCCCGGCAGGAGCTCGGGGGCCCGGCGGTCCCCGCGCGTTCCCTCTTGTCGGGGGCAACCCTCGTCACGCGCGAGAGACACGCACCCAAACACGGCCGCCTCGGGAGTCCAGAGGGTTTGTTAAACGTAGGTCAGCGTCCAAGAACGTGACAACTCACTTAAGTCCCCGTTGTTTGGGTTTCATACGCCGTATTCTCCTCACACTCTTAATCCAGCGCTAACCCAGAATCCCCGCCAGCACGCGCGGACCTGGCTCCCAGAATCCCCCGGGCAGCACGAGCGCTGGCGCTCCCGGCCCCCGCTTCTCCCCCGGGCGCGTTGGCCTTTATGAAGGGGCGGAGCAGCGCCTGCCGGCCGCTGGAGTGCCACCCTCCGGCGAAACCGGCTCCTCGCCCGTCGGAGCCCACCGGCCCCCCCGGGCCGCGCGATGGCGGAGCCGAGGGCAGGCGGCCCTACCCGGGGAGGTGCTGCCCGGGGCGTCGGATGAGCGGCGGCTCAGCCCGCGGCCGCGCCACGGGCAGCGGGAGACCCGCGCTTTGGGGCTTGCGAGGTTCCGTCGTGGTAGCCGCGCGGCGAAGGCGAATTGGCTCCGCTGGCCCACCTGGGCAGGCCGACTCCGGAGGACCCTCCGCGCTGGTTTGGTCGTGCGGGCGTCGAGACCGCTGCGGCCGTGGCTCTCAGCCGCGCAGGTGAACAGGCAGGAAGCAGAACCAGAAGAGCTAATTCTGCTTCACCGCAGGCTGCGCGAGCAGAATCTCCCCCCTCCCTGTTTGCCGCCTGCGTGGGTGCGGAGGCGGTCTTTCCGGGCTTCCTTTCTCGGGCCGTTACCCGCTGGCGGCCCCCTTCTCTCTCGCACCTCTTCCCCCTGCCTCCCGCGGCCCCCTCCCGCTGCGATTACATCGCTGCAACGCGAACTCCCGGGGCACCGTTTGGGCCCCTCTTTGACCGGAGCTTCCTGAAGAACGGCGCGCTCTGGTCCCGGCAGCTGCTGCCTGCCTAATTGGCCAGATTCCTGGGGGCTCCAGAAATGTCCTGGAACGCCGCCTTGCTCGAAAGCCGTGCCAGCTCCTCCTCCTCTCCTGCTAATTAGAAGATGGGAGAAAGTGACCTTCCTCCGAGGCTCATCCTGCTAATCTGAGACCGTCTGGAGTGGAAAGGGGGGGGGAGCAGCCTTGGAGTCGCACTCCGATCTGCCATTAGCGCCATGCCTCCCTCCGGGCCCCTAACGATCGAACCTTCCCTTCCCTTCCCTTCCCTTCCCTTCCCCTTTGTCTGTGGTTCTTTAATAACCCATTTATCTGTTAAATCAAGTTTAGCAACGCATCGGCACCAAAGTTACGGATACCGCGAGGGGATTGGTCCGGATGACCCATCTCTAATTCTTAAGTAATGCTGGATTTGTACACTGCACTAAAAGCAGATTGTTTGAATTCAGTGGCTAAGCCATATCCCTGGTATATGCACCCAATGAATGGATTTGCACAACAAGCTAAACCCAAACTAAGCTAATCCCAGGTTTAATGTGACTTGCAAAACCAAACTAAGATTTCCTTTATAAAACTAAGGGTTCTTTTATAAAGGATTGACAGAGAGGCTCTTGATGGTGCTGGCCTCATATAACACATTTACTCGGATGAACTGAATGTTTGTTCACCTAATTAACTAAATGTTTTGGGTTCTTACGAGACACTAAGTCACGAGCTGGCCACAGAGCCTTGGATAAGTGGTGGTTGGCTAGTCCGTGGGTCAGCATGTCTTGCAACACAGCATCTGCGGGGGGCGGGTGTAAAACGTCAAGATGGCATCTGCAACCAGGTGATCAAAGCCTCGCTGTTTTTTCCAGGCTATGCATAAAAAAGCTTTGATTGTGCATCACGGCTGCCATCTTGAATGTTTTGACCTCCCCCCCCAGGTGCTCCCGATGCACCACAGCCTGTGCTCTGTGCCCGTCTTCCTCCGTGACCACCCCCCTCCAGTCAGCGAGAGGCCAAATGCATTACGGGGTTTACAAGAAAGAAGGACCTTTTCTGGGGGAGAGAGGGCGGTGGGCCTTTGCTTCAGGCTTAATCCAGGAGGAAGGTCTTCTTTGCAACCCCCCCCCCAAGAACTGCCCGGTGGGCCGTGCCCTTAATCCCTCTGCCGTGCTTAGAACCATCTTTTAACAAACAAGCAGATCTCCCTCCGTGTTGCCACTCGGGTCTCTCTGACAGCTGTCGTCCATTATATCCATAGCGTTCGAGCGGTCTCAACGTTTCACTTTCTGTTTTTGATGGATCGCACTCCCCGTTCCCTGTGGGCCATCCACTCTTTGAGTTTTGAATTCGCTTGCTCCGGCAACCTTTCGCATTCGGTGTTAAGGGCCTGTGGCCTCCTGCCTTTTTAAGTAAGGGGAGCTAGGAAATGTTTCAACTCTTTTTTTAAAACATAAATTCAGCTGTACGTTTAGTCATCTCAGATCTGTACTGAAACCAGGGGGAGAGCATAATGGATTGAAGGGCATCCGTGATCTGGAGCTGCTCTGTGTTTTTCACGGGTATAATACCATTCCGAGCAATTGTGACCTTGGGACAATCCTCAGAGGAGACCCAGCCTGCCAAAGAAGAGAGGGGCATTTAAATTTGCAAGAGATCCTTTCCCAGTTCTTGGATTCGTAATATGGCTAATTTGTTCCCTAACATCCGAGATGAACCGGTTAAATTTAAAGAGGAATTAGAAATTGTTATCGAGGCTTATAATCCGACTTGGGTAGATCTTAACCAATTTATGCGCGCAATTTGTCCAAAAGGGGTATGGGAACGTCTGAAGGAGAGTCTCCAAAGGTACCCTAGGAGTCTTGTCCCTGATAATACGTATCTGCGTTTGGTAGATATGTATCGAGCTACACATTCTATTACAAATCTAAGCAATTGTTGGATATGTAATTACAACTTAGGATCTGATCAGCATGTTATTCCCCTGTTCGCCAGAACGGTTCCCACACAATGGTTTATCAGCACCTTATGGAGCACTAGTGGATTGATGTTTTTGGGTCAATATGGAGAATATGGAGATTACAGATTACCCAAATGGTGCTCTTTCCGATATCATCTGCTTCCGGAACCGGTCTTTGGGGACATATGCATAAGCGCCGGCGGTCCTGATTCTTCCCCTACACCTTCACCGAACCCCGCACTTTCCCAGAAAGTTGGAGATAG